CAATCACTGAGTAAATGAAGACAGCTCAGATTGATTCAGGGTACAAAAATAGGAGTAAAGGAGCATGGACATTCCATGGTTTTTGTAAGTACCCATGTGTGATGCGTGGCTTTATGATCATTTATGTGCCTGCAAAACAATGCTGTTCCTTACTGGTTTAAATTGCATTTCTTCTAAGAGCTGACAGGTTGATTTTTAAAAAAAATTTTTTGTACTTGTCTGTTTCTTTAAACACTGCAATAACGTGAATGACATGATGTTAATGTATCCAGGTCACATTTAAGACACTGACATAAGTCTGACATGATGCTGGGGTAGGAATGCTGATGTCCCTAACACCACCTCTGTGGTACTCTCCGCAGATCTTCTCCCATAGAGAAGCGTGACCTTGTTGTTTTATCCCATTGGCCACCCAGGCCAAGTTCATCATCTAAAGACGGCTCACCTCCAAAAGATCGCAGCCCAAAGTCAAAGGCTGGTAAGTAAATTAGTTTTGTAATTTTGTCTATTAATAACAAAAGGCCGGTGCAATTGTTTTTGTTTTGGTATCTCAGTTCGCATGCTTTTCTTGCTCTTTAGGTTTAAAGTTTTTAATTAATTTTTTTAAAGCTTCAGTTAAGGGTTTATCTCCCTATTTTGTTTAGAACGCAGTTCAGATGAAGATGCTGCATCGAACAGCCGCTTCTCAAAGACAAATGATTCCAGATCATCATTTGAAGACCGAAAACGGGGACATATGGATAAGAGGATGTTCAGGTTCATTTTTTAGAATTATCCCATAGTTTGAAACAAGGTTCTCGTTCATTAGGAAGTCCAGTGTTTATCACATGTTAAATACAAGCTTTTTTTTCTTTTTTTTTGCAGGCCATTTAATGTGATGCAGGACAGCCACAGATCTGGGAGGCCCTTCAGGAGACCAGGACCAGGACCCATGCAGGTGAGTGAAACATTTTCAAACAAATTGGTAGGTCGCAATTTTGAAATGTTTCGTGTTGTTCAAATGTTTCGTAAAAGCTAGTATAATAGACAAAGTAAACCAATCAATAGAGGTTTGCATCTAAAACATTTTTAGTATTAGTCTGAATTAGTCTAATATTTTGAAATTCAGCCTATAGGGGCACGGAGATGAACACCCACTTATTGTGAACAGGTTTTTCAGCCGTCTTGATGTGTATTGGCCTCTAAAATTGCAGCCTTACAGTTACAGTTAAACTCTGTACTGTGGCCAAATACTAAAGTTTGTTAGCTGGTCATTTCAGCAGTGTGATTACTGGACAATAATGTGACTATACATTTACATCTGCGGGGTATTGGTTTGATTTGAAATGTGTGAGGAATAAATAAGGATAATTGCTTATTGTATGTATTCAGCTTTCACTGTTGTGTTTTACAGAGACCAAAGTTCACAGGCGGTCCAAGGAAGACGGGTCCTGAACTGTCTGGACATGTAAGAAGACCACTCATGGTATGCATACCCTCTTCAGAGATCACTTACTTCCTCTGGGAAATGTTAAATGTTTTTCTAATAACTAATTGGTAAATGTCTTGTTTTTTTTGTTTGTTTTTTTGTGTTTTTTATGTTCTTTTGTTGTTTTTTTTTTTTTTTTTTTAAAGGAGAGCTTAGTGCCACGTCCTTTCCCAAATCAGAGGCCAGTGTTCAGAAAAAGTCACAGTATCATGTCTAAATACCGCAACATGAGAGTGATGCGTCAGCGTGTGCCGTACAACCGAGGACCTAACCAACAACGCTGGTGAAAATCTGCGGTAAGAAATCATGATATGCGGCTGTGAAGTGGCAGCATGGCAATTTCAACTGACCATGTACCATTAATAGTGTCTTCTTTAAATAGTGTGGTCCATCCTCAGGCCATAATGAGGTCTATTTACTACATAGAATGAGGCAGCTGTGTTACTAATCCCTAAAGAAATCTTGATTCATCATGAAAAAGCAATCTGCACGTATCAGGTTCTTCAAGAAATGTCGTATTCACTGGAGATTTGTTTTATCACAGCACAGGTTCCACATCCTGCAGATGCGACACTGGAAAACGTGGAAAAATCTCAAGATATTTCTGCTGGGTGGACTGCACAAACCCATCTCTCACTACAATCCCTACCTGCCTGTATATTATGGAAATGTTGTTGCTTACATTTGTTTTCTGGTACAAGTGTTTCAGTTGCAGCTTTGAAGTACTGCAGTACTTTGTTTTAGACTTTGTAACATATGCCATTTTATTATTATACTGCCAGCTGTTTTCTGGTGTATTTTGATCTGGGAATTGCTGCTTGTGATCTTGGCAGTCTTTATTTTACTTCAGTAGTCACAGCATTATTTGTTTGTTTGTTTACCAGCAACAATCAGTTTCAGGTTTGTTAAGTCCAAGAAATGTTTACTTTAATAACATCTCCCTTTTCTTGTGTGGATAGACTTATCTCATGAGATGTCCTATTTGAGTAATCATTGGTGTTTTGATTAGAAACCATGTCTTGTCCACAGACACTTACCTACTACTTGTAAAAGTTGTATAATCATATGTTTAGTTTATTGTTTGAGACTTGAAGTAAAATGGATTTAACAAGCTCTATTTGAGGGTTGTCTTTGTTTGATTGAAGAATCAAGTCATCAGTAGTGCTATATTTTTAACATGCACTTCCAATCCAGTTTCCATTTGCCAACCATGATGATAAAATATTCAAAGTCTTTGCTACGAACAGTATAACTCTGGACATACATGAATGTCAACTGCAGCTTTACTGATTGGCAGAAGCATACAACCTGCGAGGCAGCAAAACTAGTTTATGTCCTCAAATTTTAAATATGGCAGTCATTTCCATTCAGTTTTTTTGTAAGCTTTACTACCTAAAGGCAATCTGACTTCACAGTCTGAATAAATCTTTCTTGATTTACTGGATAAACTACCCTTCAATATAATTAAATGAGAACTGATTTCCCTGTACTCCATCAGTTTGGTATTGCATGTCCTTTGAGTTGGGGTACTCAGAAAAGAGATTGGAGTGTGTTAAAAACAAAAACGTGATAAAAACTGAAGCGGCAGAAGCCAAGATATCCTGACTTTTAATCCCTCTTATCCTAAGTATCTCCAAATTCTCTGGGTCCTGTACTTCCCCTAATACACTGCAATAATGTATTTTATTAGACCCCTCCTACCTGCTAAAAGCCAATTTCTTTCAAACCCCGCATCTCCTGTTTGTAAAGCAGACTTTCTGTTCAAATTGGAAGTCCTGAGCCCCAGCTAAGATCACCCTGATGACATGCTGGAACACATGAACTGATTAGAGAGCCGCTACTGCTTTCACATGGTGAGCTATAACGCCTGTGATGACAAAACTGGACTGTGTATAAAATTGGTGGAGTGTCCCTTTCAGTGCTGTTTAGGAAACCCTTGGTAAAGCCAATCAAAACAGCTTCTGAGCTTTCAGATGAATCATCACCCTTTCTGTTTTCTTTTCTTCTGCCCAGTTCAAACATCAGTTCTTGTGTAACCGCACTCCAGTTTGTCCCTTGAAACACTTCTCTCGCCCTTCAGTCTGCGGCGCCCTTCCCTCTGCCCCTGTGATATTTGTGAGAAGAGAAGAGCTCCACTCTGTCCTGAGCTAAACTTAGCCCTGACAGTACCACTCCTCATCACAACATACTCCGCAGACCACACTGGGTTACAATGGATGGTGTCCAGTTACCGCAGATGCTGCTGTATCTCACCGGTGACACTGACAAAACAAGGTGAGTGAATGCACCAGATCCTTGACTGTAACTGACAATAATCTGGTAATTGGTTTAGTATGTTTACTAATGACCTTTCTGTGCATCGGTTCCAGCATGTGTTGCACATTTGTTCACTGCTGCGGCATGAGAGAAAACAGCTGCCTCTATTGTTACACCCACATTTAGTTTGATTAAGAAGTATCTCACTTTACAAACTGAAGTTGCTGAATTATTTTGCACAGGTAATAGTTAAAGAATTACCTGTTTTTCAGTACATTTCAATTTCTTAAAGGTGTAGCATGAGGTTGTTCTGAGCTGACTGTTGATTTCTGCTCCACTGACTTGCTCCAATCTGTCATTTGTAGATGTAGACTTAAAGACTCTGCAGGTTTTTCTGTCTTTCACTCTCTACACTTGTATTCCTCTCTGTCACGATGGGCAGCTATAGCTCAGTCCTCATTCCTGGTAAGCCTTGCAACTATTGCTGTTATATGTGTTGCAAAGTCATTTGAAATACTACCATGCATGTTTAAAAAAAATAAAAGGATGAATGTTAATGCAGGCTCTGGAATCATAAAAATGGAACAAGACGTAGGTTTATCACAGTGAAAATGGCCTATGTTCTCTGTAGTGATAGGTTTAAATCAGTTCTGGGTTCTGAGCGGTGTGTTTTAACATTCACTCTCCGTTTCTCTCAAAGACACAGAGGACTTTGACTCAATTGTGTCAGTCGCGGAGAAGCTGAATGAGCAGGCAGCTCATGCTGCAGATGAGAGGTTACAGTCAGAGCTTCAGACTCTGGGAAGTATACATTTTTAATATTAGTCATCTGGAAGTGAAACCATTCCACTGTTACTTCATCCAGTGAATTACTACTACACTATAACACTACTATAGCTTGGCTCACATATAGAAATAGTGTGTGGTGTGGTCTATTTATGTCCCATCTGTCCTTGGGATAAATTTAACTTTTCTGAGCTGCCTCATGCACAAACAGCCACGTACTGCAGCCAAAGATATCTACTGTGACTCCTTACTTAAAACAAGGTTGAAAGGTACTCGCCCTGTATTGAACATGAGCTTTAACTTCGGAATTTTAATTGGAGCTCCATCACTATAATCCTTTGTTACTAACCTAACAGCCATTTTGAACATTTTCTTTGGGGGCACCAAAAGTTGATTTGTTTTCATACTTTCAAAGGGGCGAGGTGCACTTTAAATGTATTTTAATTATCAGATGTCTCAAACTAGACTTCACTTACAGGTAACACTCATGATGGAGGAGGAAAGAAAAGAAAACCAGAGGGAACAGCTGGATACTTCAACACTTCAAGGGAACTCACAGGAGATGAGTCAAAATGAGTCTGCCCTGCCAGTCAGTGTAAAAGAAAAAATTCAGGCTCTATGCACTTTAAAATTTTGTTGTGTCGTCAGCCTTTAATGCTGGGTTATCCTCCATAGGCACCAGTACCCAAAAGTGAGCCCACGCACTCCTTCTCCTCTCTGTTACCAAAGGCTCTCTCAGCTGTACTACATCCAACCCCAGGCCTCAAATCCGACTCCCAGCCGAGCAGAAACCCAGCGAAACACGCTTCGACGAACCTGGAGCAACTGCAGACAGAGCTGAGAGACCTGAGGGATCAGTTTGAACAGATGAAGAGTCAGCACAAGTATGGCTTTTTTTTTACTCTAATCTCTGGTCAGATTTTGGTTTACTTGCCCAGCCTCACACTGGATGACACATGACCCCCCGCCCCCCCACTGCATCACTGTCTCTGCTGTCTGTGCTAATTTGACAATATTTTTTGTTGCAGCAAAGAGATTAAACTGCTGATGAATGAGCTAGATGAGGAGAAAAGGATTCGCTTGACTTTACAGGTGTGACATAAAGAAATAAAGCACAATAGAATTTCTGTAAAGTATTTTTTTCAACTGTACAGAACCATTTTGAGCCAGGAATATTAGATATTATTAATATCTAGAAAATACACTCATGGTGTGTTTTGTTTTCTTGTAGATGGAGATTCAACGTATGAAGAAGCACATGTCTAAATGAGTGGACTCATCCTGATTTGACAAAAAAGGTCCCATTGTACACTTATCTGAGTCATCCTTGCTCCTTTTTGAAGAAAAATTATCTTATTTTTTTAGAAAAACATTTTTCTTAGGTGGTAATTTCATTCACTTTTTTGTTGGACTGCTGAAAGGCCAAGAGGAGTGAATGTTTTTGCTGAGTCGTTGCAGTAAGTGTAAAGATGAGGCACAGTGGGAGCAGACCCGAGATGTGAAAGAAAAACTGCCTCTTGATCCAGTGTCACATCAAGAGGAATATCTGCTGGCCGTCCTCTCCGGAAATGAGCAGTTACACATTCAACTGTCTTGAGGTTTTCCATGAAGAAGAAAAACACTCTTCTGTTTCCCTGTTGGAACCCTGATTTTGAGTGACAGCTGGGTGCAGGCCTGAATATTGTGTTGAAGATCATCACTGTTAAATTGGTTTTCAATCATTTTTCCTTTATCCGGCCTTGCAGGACACATGGCACAGTGACAGGCAGAGAGGAGGATGGGAAACGACAGCTAGCAGTTAGTCTGCAGAGCTGAGGGCTGAGCTATCATTTGCTTATTATGATGTGATGTAGAGGCACAAACATGAAGCTTCTTTCATATTTTTAGGTGAATATATTTTTCAACCAGTGTAATAGTTTGACTTTTTATTGTATAAACAGTTGACCAAGCTGTCAGTTAATTTATTGGTTGCTGATGTGTGGGAGCATTATGATGTCATTAAAGATGCTGGAGCCATTGCTGACTTTTTAAACTGTATTTATTTTTATCAATAATTAAGGATGAATTTACAAATAAATACATAGCTACTATTGACATTGTATATATACGTATATATATATATATATATATATATATATATATATAGATAAATTGATATTGATAACCTGTCATCATAAATCATTTGAGATTCATTTTCTAATTTTCACTGCGAGCGAAATGCAAGCACACAGATATTTTCTCTTAAAAACACATACACATCATATACAGCGGTACATCACATTTCACTTTCAGAAACACAAACGTTCACATTGTGTTAGCAAATATTTGGCTGCCAGGTCGCAGCTTATTGATGCTACTTTTTCAGTCTTTATTGTTTTCCTGTGCGTTCCTGGAGGGACGGACGAGTCAGCCGGACCTCAGCCAGAGCGAGCAGTGAACTTTGGGACACGGGGTCTCACTTTGCCTCAGAAGTTGGATTCTTCACATGGAATGGGCCTGAAGGTGACCTCCCGCTTCTCCTCAAGAACGATGTCATATCGACACAGAGGCCTGTAAGGGACAAAATCCATATTACTGTGAATCTACAGCTGGAAGAAGTAGTGAGGGATTATTTAGAGAGTGAGAATGGCTGTGACATTATGGGTCAAATAGGTCCAATTTTTCTCAAAGATGTTTCTCACCTCTCCTTACGCTCCAGATGTGTGAGACGGATTCGGAGAACACGGAGTTTATATTTAGGCTTGAATACATTCCCATTGGAGAATTTGAGAGACACCTTGTGCACTGACGGGATGTCTTTGTCGAACTGGGCGAACAACCTGGTCTCTGTGTACTTCTGGAACTTTAAGGATTTACTAAAGTGAAAAAAAACCAAAACACACACACACACATTACTGAGAGAGAGCAGCAACAGAGGGAACAAAGAGAGATCAATGTGGAATACTGGTACTTTGAACAGATATTATGATAAAATACTTACTGGTCAATGGTTGCTACTGCTTCTGTTCCTTTATAATGAAGTTTAACAGTAATGTAACCCCAGCGAATATCCTTATTCCATATCATCACATCCACCCTGTAGCCTGACACTAAGAAAAGACATTAACATTTTTATTTAACATTTTATTTGATATGAAATGATACTTCCTCTTAGAACTGATACTCTCATGAAAGTAGAATTTACTAAAGAACAGACCATTCATGACCCTTTTCGCCTCAAATCATCCTCATGATTGAAATGCAGTCAGATGAAAGTGGAATTAAGTATTTCATTTTAGTCTTTAATTTTATGGTCTTCATTCACATGTGACTACAGGGGGGTTGTTTTCAGAGTCATCCATCCTTTTCTTCGTACTGCTCATGAAGGTGCAGCTTCATATAACGATTCTCTGCCATCAATGCGGGACAAATCTGTATTCAGTGAAAACACTCTCCACAATTCATCCAAACACAGCATGACGCAGCCATCAAATGAGTAGTTAATCCGAAAAATTCACTGCAGTTTTTTTGAAGACATGATGCACTAGGGTACATGTCAAAACTGCAAACCTGATGCACTGATCCTCAGAAGATCGGAAGCTTAGTTAAAAGTTTAGTTTTTAAAACCAAAAAAAAAAAAAAATAGTTGATTTGGATCATGATTTTCTCTGAACTGCTGGATAAAGGAAAGGATGGATGACTGTGGACATGATACCAAGTGTACATGAATGGCAGGTATAACATGGGACGAAGACAAATGTTGACATTTCGTACGATATAAGTGCTCCATATGATGTGAGACAGTCATGGGACGTCCTTCAAATTGGTTTTGAGAACATAATTTGTGAGGCTGTTTTCAGTGTTTAATATCTTCAAATAGAAGGAGAAATGTGCCTTGTGTTGGATTTTTATTTGTGTTTCCCTATAAAGCCCTTGAAAAGTCCTATTTTTCTACAGCCTTTTACAGGCTGGAGGCATGTTTTACATTTTTTTGGATTATTTCAAAAAAATTCTGATATTCCTATTATTGCTTCAACAGTGATCATTAGTGTTCTGTTACTTACTGCAGAATGGAGACTTGGTAGTCGTTGTGAAGTAAGTTTTTGTGTGGCCCAGCTTCAGCAGGATGTCTTTCCACATTGTGATGTCATAGCCTGCATTTGAGTAAAAACAGCTGCGTCAGGTATACAGGAACAAACTGTAACCTCTGGAGAAATACAGGATTCCATTCAAAATACATACATATTGACAGACAATACAAAGCCAATATCAATAAATATCAGTACCTTATGGATTCTGTCAATATCTAAAATGCCTCATAATCCATTTACTTCCTGATACACCATATCACCATATTGACTGTTTCTATTAACAGTAGGTCATATGTTATTCAATAGTGTGTTCATGTTATTTATGATTAAAACCTACTGTATATCTACCTTGCAAATGAAAGGGTTTGTTTTCAGTTATTGTCCATCAACATAAGACATCATTTTGAAGAGTAAAAAACTGAAACGACAACACTTTATTTCTAATAGATGACAAGAGTACCAACCAAAGACAGGACATCCAGCAGCACCAAACCGGTCACAGTTCAAGCAGTTACCATCCAGAAATTCACTGTAGGACGAGCAGGGGAAGGCCCTGCTGGCACATGTCTGATTCAAAGATTCAAGGTAGAGCAACACTGACCTCTGGTGGTCGCATTTAAAATAAGATCCTCCTGTACAGGGGTAAAATAGACAGAGGAACGTTATCATATGGTTAATATCCTTATAATTCAAGAGTCTTGATTTTGAAAGACCTCACCAGAAAAGATGGTCTTTGGGCAGCCGGGCTGGTCTGTTCCTCCATTTGCATAGAAATCGATGTGACCCAGAGGTTCTCTGAAGCCCAGGGCTGTAAACACAGTTAGCACATGAAAAAAAATGTGATAACACATATACAGTAAATCAACTGTATGATGTGTAATAAAACCTTATCTAACATTTAAAGCAATTCTAAATATACAAAACAGAACATCAGCTCAACTAACCATCTATGTCTGTGTGCAGGACATCCACAAATTGGGCGTCTTTGGAGTCCAGTCGATCCTCTGGAGCAGTGCCAGTGAACTGAGGCCCAGCAGGATCCAGAGCTGCAAACATCACATCAGTAGACATCAGTAGAAGTATTAGTAGAGTAGATAGCTGATGGGTACTAGAAACAGCGGGCTTGGGTAGACTAAAATTTTGACCTTACTGTAAAAGCTTTGGTTATCACTTTAAGATCCTGCACTGCTTCTATCCCTTTTCCTTTTTATCACTGCTGCTCTGCACACACGTTTCTTGACCCATCTGACAAACCAGTGAAGCTCTTTTCCAAACATCTTTTATTATTTTTCTCACACAGAAGCATTCTGATACCGTCCCATCTAGTTTCTGTTTTATATGACTGAACACTTTCCTGTTACAGAGGCGCTCCAGACGTCTTTCCTTCCCTGTCCTTTCCTGTTATTTCCTTTCCTTTCCCTTCCTTCCTGTTCCTTTCTATATTTGATTGGCACTGCAGGGACTGTGGGGAGAATTTTCTGCCTTCACCTTACAATCTCTCCCTAGGGATTTCAGATGGAATCAGTGAAACTGTGCTGACTTTTTTGTGCTGACTCTTGCCCAGACAGCCAAAAAAAAAAAAAAAGAAAGAACTGTGATATATTGCTTCAACTCCACGACCCCACCATGACCAAATCCTTTTTGATACATCTAACAAACTCGGCAAGGACTTGTCTCTCTGTATTATTAGTTACTGTTATCCAATCTAAGAATTATAGCTCATTCAAGTGTCACAGTTATAATGTAATGTCCTTGGTAAGCAATTCAGCTCAGTGCCAAAACTGTAAAACATAAGTGTCCAAAGATTGTATGAGTGATCAAATTGTATGAGAGGAATAAGTCAAGAGGAAATTTCTTTTACACATCTAAGTGTAAATGTACAATTCTCTACAAATGTCTCCACAAAACCAGATTTTATAATTCTGAATCAGATAGTGAAAGTGATCTGAATTTATGTGCCACCATGCGCCACTCTTACCTGTAATTCTTCCTATTGCCCCATTCAAGTTAGCGCCTACAAAACCTGATATATGAGCCCCGAGACTGACTCCAATCAAGTGGATGGAGCTCAGAGAGGCACCATGTTCCTGAAAAGATCAGGCATTAGTCTTTGTTACACACAACAGTCTGTGATATTTCAGAGACGGTGATGGCCACAGAGAGGGTCAGATACATCTCATACCTGCATCCTTTTAATGAAAGCAGTGAGGTTGGCGGCTGCCTTGTGTGTGTTCTCCACTGCCTTAAAGTAATTCACATTGGCAGCTCCGTGGTTCCAGTCCACCACTATGACATTAACGTCTTTCCTGTACAGCAGCAGCTCCGTGATGTTGCCCACCCACACCGGTGGAGATCCGGTGGGCCGATACCCATGAATGGCGAAGGTGGTAGGTCTGGACAGTTTGAACTGGGGATGGGCAGACAGGTTGGTGTGGGACAGGAGGGTACCACAGGTGCCATTTTCCCTGGTGTACAGCAGCAACCTTATGCTGATGCTGGTACCAATGAACGCATGACCGAAATTTAGATCTGTAAACTCGTCACATGTCTGAACTGGTGAAGGTGAGAAAAAACAGGGAGCAGAAAGAAAGAGAGAGTGAGAGAGTGAGAGAGAGAGAGAGAGAGAGAGAGAGAGAGAGAGAGAGGTGTTTAAAAAAGAATAGATTAGACACAACTGTTTTGATCTTATAAGCTTTGCTCAGTGTTGCATAACCTTTAAATATTTAATAGTACATCATCAAGTTCTCGCCCTTATCCATGACATAATTTCCACATGACTCAGGTTAGAAGTACTCAATGCAATTCTAGAGTGAAACTGTTTTCAAACACAGCTTCGCCCACTAGAAAGAAACATGGCATGAACCATTTTCCCTGGAAAAGCAGACAGCTACAGGAAAGACTGAGATCCATGAGTGGATCTGACTGTCGTGGTTTGTTGACCAGTGGAACAGCAAAATGCAGACACTTTACATCAAGTAAACCATTGACACATACGGCCAAAGAGCCTTAGAAAAACAGAGGATGTGGTTATAACAAACCAAAGTGCACCCACGCCACTTGTTACACCCAATTACTATGTGTCTGGAGGTGTAGCGAAGACATGGCCGTGCGTAAGTAATGACTAAATACAGTCTATAAAAACCCAACCAAAAATAGCGACGTCAAGAAGAATTATGAAGTGTGTTGCTTCATTCAGTAGCATTAAACAATATGATAATTCAGTTTTTCTCAACGTTATTCACCAAACTCCAAATTAATTTAGCCAAACAACCGATGATAATTAAGTCAATCAAAAAAACAGACGGATACTCATCTCAGTTTCTGCTGAGCAAGTGAAGTGTGTTTACAACAAGATATTTTTTTATCTGAACTGGTAGTGATGACCAGATTGATAGTTTTCTTGCTCTCCGTGACTGTCACACAGTAAATCACATTGCATAGTGCATGGTGCATACATATCGGCCGAGTTTAGATCTATACAGTGCCACTGGTTTTTGCAAACCACAGGGAAGGTCAATAGCTTACGCATTTTTCCTTAGGAAATTTCAGTTCCTCAAATATTACTTGACACACAGCTGTTATACACTTGCTGACAAAAGTGACTGTGTGCATGGGTGTGTGTGTGGGTGTGTATATGTGTGCGAGCGTTTATGTATGTACATTTACATTTCAGAGAGTCATGTTTTGAGCCTTACCTTTGCATATTTGAGCAGCTATCAGCAGGAGCGGTGTCAGATATTGCCACAAGAACATGCTTTACACCAGCAGTGCACAAATGATCTAAAGACACAGTTATCTCAGTCAGACCATTGCTGTAAAAACATTATTTGGCCCATAATGTAATTAACTGCAAATCACATGTAAACAAACGTAACAAAAAACGCAGCAACATTTCAAGGTGAACACTGCTCTGCCCTTTTAAATGTTTGTCTGACACTTTCTTTTTTCCCAACAGGCTGTTTTATATTCTCAGCCGACCTCACAGGACTGAAGCAAAGAAAAGAGGTTAGTTACTTTCCACCTTCCTTCCAATGTAATAAAACTATGGTCATAAAGTTGACTATAAATAAATATAGAGTAAGCTATTTCCAATTCACTGAAAAGCTGTTTTTTTTTCTGGTTCCACCCATTATTATTAATCTCAGCTAATGACACTGTGATTATAAGTGAAACTGAAATCTGTAGAAAATCATAGTCTGACTTGCTCAGACATGCTGATCTATCTGTGACTGTCTTTTGCTACACTACACGTCTCATGTTTACGAAGTGGACAGTATCTTCCTCAGATTTACTCTGCACAAATTTGCCAACAATGAGAGAGTATTATCAGAGTCTTACCTTGGCTGTAGGATGATATTTCCTGGCCGGTCTGTCAAAGGTCCAGAATATCACAGGTTTGTCACTCGGTTTGTCACTGTGTTTGTCACTCCACATATTTGGGCAGCGTTCAGAGATCAGGAAGTGAGAGGAAGAACAGCAAAGCAATACTCCCACCCTGCATTCTCTTGCAAGGATAGCCACACCCCTTGCTCCAGGTCATTGTGTTCACAGGTGAAATATTCCTGTGAAGTCACTCTTGGTTCCTGTGTCCTCAAACCGGTTAAGCGACTGTTTCCTATGTTTCCATTAAACTTGACTTGAATCTGTAAAAAATAACTTGGTCTATGTTTATTGAGAGCATTCTTTTATATGTGGGAGAAATAAGAATGAAAGTGAAACATTTTAGGGGTATTTCACTTTTGCAAAAATGGACACCCACGTCCCTCAAATTCCCCCAAAATTCAGCCTGGCTCTACTCACTTGGAGTCGGTCAAAACGCCACCGACATTTCCAAGAAGTTGCACAATCCTAACCTCAGTATTTCACTCCCTAATTAATGTTTATTTTGCCTTGACTTTTTAGGCACTTGTAATAACTTTTAGCTTCCTACCACAAGCTTCTCTTTACTTTAAATTCATGTACATCTGGAGTACATGTGGATAACAGTGTGTCAACATACATGTAAATATCTTAGTGTACATATCATATGTTTTATAATAACTGTACTTTCAAATTTGCATTCAAATAAAATTTTTTACAAATCAAGTGTGTATTGAGGGTGTCTCTTGTGCTACTTGTGAATGTTACTTTTGGGTTGGATCATACCACCTATTTTTCTCTACCTGACTACCAGCTTTCACCAACTTGAAATAGATTTGACTGATGTTTAAAGTAACATAAGTAACTAAAAATAGGATTGAAAAAATACAGATGAAGATGAGGTAAAGATAAAACAGATAAAACAGATAAACTTCAAACGTCATTGGTCGTTTATCTTTGCAAATGTTTTTGGGGGTTCTGCAAATGTGCATGATCACACATCTCATTTCTGTAAGAAACTGAACTAATCATGACCCATAACCATTACAAAAACATCTATGACAATGTATCAGAAATGTCTCCTATCAATGTAAAACACCTACAATAGACTCAACAGCCACGTGCGGCTGTATTTAGGCACAGCAGCGCTTGAAATGCTGAGTTCAGCATACTAAGGGACTGTACAAAAATTATTTGTGGGGGAGGGATTGTCAGAAAGGGAGGATTGTTAATGTTTTTTTTGCTGAAGGGAGGGTAGTTTGGCTTTTTTGGGAAAGCAGGGGATGGTCTTTTAACTTTTTCTCATCTCAGATTTATATATATAGATATTTTATTTCAGTCTTCCTTTTTGAGATTTATTTAATTAGTGTGATTTACTTATTAGGGCTTTTATTTTTTCTGGGTCTAATACAAATATCAACATAATCACAGCAAAAAAGGTGTTATTGATTTTAAGATGTACCCAAACTATATTCACAACAGAAATGACATAATATGGAGCATAGCACTGTGGGTAATGTGTGACAGCTTTGTGAAATGTTGGTACATATTGTCTTTCTGTGTTTGGTTCCAAAGGCTGCCAATGTAAAAGCCTTCGGCCCTTCAAGTTGATCTTATTCGGCTTCCCTCAACATACACTGTTACACTATCAGTTAACTTTTGTTGTTCTGTATATACAGGATACAAGGAACTGTGACAAATGTTTCAAAATATGAACATTTTTCACTTTCACTTATAACTGCTGTCAGTGATAGCAGATCAAGAAAAGGAAAGTCCTCACAAGCCCAGTATTGATGACTAGTGCAGTATACACCTCTGAATGCCTCCACCAGAGTGGCCTGAACTTTGCCCGCTACATTCTCGCGTCATCAGGATCAGGCAGTGCCGATGGGATGTATACTTAAAATCACTGACAGGCTTAGAAATCGTCCGTGTTAAACCAGCTGAGAGGAGTGGCAGGTGGCTGCAGTGGTGTGGTTAATAGACAAGGCAGCAGAACAATTCAGGATGGCTGGAAGGAGACGGGGCCGAGGCAGCAACGTCCAACAACAACAGGCCCCACAGAGCCAAAGAGGAGGCCCTCGCAGGGTAAGTCCTGTTCTGTAAATATGAAACATGGTCACCTTCTTTATTCTTACACTTCAAATGATAATCATATGGGGTCTCAGAGTCCCATAAAGGAGGTTCTGGCTGTCTTGTTTTTGTACATTATGTAAAGACTGTGAATCATCATATCAGTGGGACTCATATTGTATTTTTATGTGACAGGCTTTGAATATTACAGCGGTAAACGTTTCCTCTGTGGTTATTTGACTTGTGCCTGGGAGTGGAGAGTTAACTGATTAGCTGAGTGCAAAGATGTAGGAATGACTCATAGCAATACAATGATGATTATTCCCAAGTGATATTAAGCACTTGTTTGGAATGATTAAAAATGATAGCTATTAACTAATTCTATTGTAATCAGTTTTGCATTGCTTTAAATGTATCAACAGAGTGTGAATAATAAAGTGTAAAATTTAACTGCATAGTCTGCACATAAACATCTAACATTTGTGTCTTGATTGTGGAAACATAACATACAACTCCTGCATGTATACTGACTTCTTGATGGTGTAAAGTAGGAAATCAGTGGCTAACTATAAGGACTAAGAGAGAAATATAAAGAAGCATTGAAGCATGTTGCTTAGCAGCATTCATACTGAGCATTTCAAAACAAATTTTAAGCCGTTAAACTGAATAACCATATAGTTTAACACAAGAAACACTAGACGTTTGAGCAGAATCAAAGTTCAAAGTATATGTTACAACACATCAGATAAAGCTGCGTATACTATATGTATCTACACACGACACAAAGTCCATGACATATCAGGATGCTCATTACTGAGTGCTGAGATTTATCAAGTTGTCCTAAGATATTATCAAAGCTTATCTTGTTTTGATAATACAATTTATTTACGATGTCAAGTCTAGAGAGGAGTCCCAACCTGCAAAATTTACAATACCTTATGTTTTATTAAAATAAACCTAGAACAGTACTGTTTATATTCCATTAGTTTAATCCTAAATTCTGCAATAACTCTGTTGCTGTATATCGTCTCCCTGCACTATTTTGTTTTTGAATGCTAGTATGCTTCCCAGTAGCACCCTTTTCCGCACACAATCCAAATACATGCAGTTCAGGTAAACTGGAAACTTTACAATTGCCCTTAAGTGTGAATGCAAGTATGAATACGCTTGTTTGTATATAATGGCAGCTTATTTAGTCTGTACTTTTAGTCTGCACCTAATGTATACTGAAACCCTGAACAGGATGGAAGTGGTTCAGACGGACGATGAACTAAATTGGAAATTTTTTTTTCCTTCCTCTGTGTTCTCTGTCAGTCTGTTCAGGCTCTGCGGGAGCCGGCTGCTTTTGCCAAGTCTACAGGTTGTGAATCAGAGACCCCCCATGAAAAGTTGACCATTGCCCAAGCACGGAGAGGCACACCAGGTCACACCTCCCAATAGTTTCTCTCTGCATTGCTAATGAATTTCATGTATAGTAACTGAGAGTGTCTTTGGGTCTTTTCCCTGCTAATGACAGCAAGGAATACAGGGAAGCCAAGAGAGTCACTAACTTGAGATCATTCAGTATGTTGGTATCAGCTGACATCAGCTGTAAGAGGTGACGTCAGTATCAGTGTGATATTGTTTTACTGCTAGTTATTAGCCAGATTGTAAGGTTGTTATTATTATGATCCTCTTCAGAAATGTGTCACGCCATATGACTGACAAATTAGCAACGAAAGAAAAGTATTAAGATCTTTATTGGCTGATCAGATATCAGTATCTGCTTTAAAATGGCATATCAGTAAATCCCTATAAATTACATTGGAGTTAGGACATGGTTTCATATTTCTTATCTTGCAGCTCATCGTCCGGTGCGAGTCTACGCTGATGGGATCTTTGATCTTTTCCATTCGGGGCATGCTCGAGCTCTGATGCAGGCCAAAAATGTGTTCCCCAACACTTACCTGATAGTAGGAGGTAAGGTAGAAATGTCACTCCCCCTCTTAACACATTGCAGTAAAAACACCTTGTGTTTACATGATATGGGCCATTGTCACCCAGAGCTGCATTAGCATGATAAAATGGCCTTTAAAGGCCAGTATCTTTGGGTCTTTGGGCTAAATCTTCCATTTTAATTTCAGTTTCATTCAGTTTAAAGTCTTGGATTTGAGGTAAGACATCACATGTAAGTTCCTGTTTCCCTAGTCTGCAGTGATGAACTCACCCACAAGTTTAAGGGCTACACGGTGATGACTGAGGATGAACGCTACGAAGCCCTGAGGCACTGCCGTTACGTTGATGAGGTGGTGCGGGACGCTCCCTGGACCCTTACCGCAGAGTTCCTCAAGAAACACAAGGTCATAGGTCACGCAGTCACTGGACACACAGCTTCTTAACATGTCATACAGTGACAACAACTGAGTTATCTGGTGTGCAGATATCAGTCTGAACACTGTCATGTTGCACTCACAGATTGACTTTGTGGCCCATGATGATATCCCTTACACCTCTGCTGGATCAGAGGATGTTTACAAACACATAAAGGAAGCAGGTAAAGATACATATAACCCATTATGATGAATTCTACTTTTGTTATTTTTCATATCACTTGAATGAATTACATGTGCTTTAAATATTTGTGTACTCATGTCAGGAATGTTTGTGGCAACTCAGAGGACAGAGGGCATCTCCACATCTGATCTGATCACTCGCATCGTCCGAGACTACGATGTCTATGTTCGACGCAACTTGCAAAGAGGATACACAGCCCGAGAACTAAATGTTGGATTCATTAACGTAAGAGAAATCATATTTACTAAACTGAAGAAATTTTTTAAAACAAAATATAGAAATAATAGCACATGTACTGATGGTCATCTGCTGTGTCTTTTTTCTGACAGGAGAATAAGTACAGGATCCAGAACCAGGTGGACAAAATGAAAGAGACGGTCCGTACGGTGGAGGAGAAGTCCAAACACTTTGTCTACAGAGTGGAGGAGAAGAGCCAGGACCTCATCCACAAGTGGGAAGAGAAGTCACGAGAATTCATTGGCAACTTCCTGGAGCTTTTTGGACCTGACGGAGCCTGGGCACGTTTACTTTTACATTAATCCAGAGGGCGCACTAACTGAAGGGAAAAATCCCTCATAGACCATAATAGATAAAGAACCTTTCATTTCTAGGTTGAGTTCGTTGTTTGGTGGTGTTTCTTGGTAAATCTTGATGAAATATTTAACTTTCTTGAAGTCTTGCCAGGGAACCAGTGTAGAAATAGCTCCTCACATGACTTCCCGGGAAACCACTAATTGTTGTTTTTATACAGATTAAACAAACATGATATAATATTAATTAGTGAGCTTTAGAGGGTCTGGTTACTATATTTTGTTCTGTCAGAGAAAGCCTGCTGTCTCCCCCTGTTCCCAGTCTTTAAGCTAAACCTCAGACAATAATCACTCCTGAAAATCAGCACATCTTACAACTGTACAAGGATAGTAGTATCTCTGATGGTATCTCAGTTTGTTGATAAATATCCAATGATTTGCTTAAAAATCCTAGAAAAAAGACGTGTCCTGTAACTTCAGATCATGTATAGATGTTTTCATCGTCAAAATTACTCAAGTGATTGTTGTCCCTTCATCCATGGTTTCATTGCAACCGGGAAGTTTGTCTAAGGCACCAAAACCTAAACACAATAAGATTCTGAGCCCTTGTCAAGGCAGTGACAAAAGGCCCTGTGGTTAATGTGGGAAATGACACAAGTATCAATAAATACGTGTGGTTGGGTGAAAGCGAGTGCAATAAACACATCACAGAACATTTCATCACAAAATGATTCACTGCCCCACCGCAACAAAACAACACAGTAAACCTTTCTTCTGTCTCTGTCCTTGTTTAGCATGTGATTCAGGAGCGGAGTGGCCGTATGCTCCAGGCCCTGTCGCCCTACTCTTCACCCCGTGGCTCCCCAAGCAGCAGTCCCACCAGACGACGCTCAGTTTCTCCAGACTCCTCCCCTGCCTCTGCCTCCCCCTCTGCCTCCCCTCCCTCCTCTCCCTCCTCTCTCTCCCCTCCTTCCTCTCCATCCTCCCCCTCTACACCGAAAAAGGGCGCACGCTCCTCTCTCAAAGCTGCCTCCTCATACAGCAGACACGCACAATGAGCTCCTCATACTTGGGTCATCTTTATTAGTCTTAATCTGGTACCTAATATGTCTAAGGAGGAAATTAATAAAATGAACAAATAGAAAGGAAGTACTTTGATTTATTACTGGTTTATTCAAGTACAAGTGCAATACATTATCATGTACATAATGCTTCTTCACTGAAAAGAAAAGGACTAGCGCATTAAATTTTGCTTTGATGTGATTTGTCTTCTGTTATTTGTGAATCTTATATGTCTAGTGGCTAACTGCATAAGACATACTCACCCTTAAAGGACCTTATACTGTAGGACTTGGTAACTGAGTGTTAATGAGTACAGAGTGTGTTTTTTAGACTAGTGATAATCAACTGAAATCTCCCTGCCATTTTATGCCCTACATGGACATTATTCTTCCCCTAAGATTTAAAAAGGCTGAATCATCTCTGTAATCTAAGACACTTTTATGGAGAAAGACCAAATGGGTGCTTACACAGTTGTATGAAATCTTTAGTTTGGAAGCAATAAATCCCTAAAGTTCCTCAGAGCAAACAGCTAGAAAGTCTGAATCACAAAACCCATTAAAACAGCTGGAGTTCTTAAGCTGCTCTATCAATATTTTTTTAATATTAAAATGGATCCAGTGGCTATATGTAATTTGAAAGAGATCATTTTTACAAGGTGCTATGTATATAGGGAGATAATAAAAATGAATTTGATGGTGCAAGGGTTATGTCTTTAATGTTTCCCAAGTACCCAGTTCCCATTAAATATCAGGGTGGAGATTGGGGCCATCTCGTCATCAGATCCTAACTAGTGGGAGAGAGTCATAAGAATATATATAGATACTGATACAGTACAGACACCATGCCCTTTTTCTGTTGTAAAAGGGAAACAACTCATAATGACTGGATAGGGGATTGTGTCATGGAATACCATGGGCTTTCTAAAGTGGCCTGATCTGTAAATGGAAAAAAAAGGAGGAGGGTAAATGTAGAAAGCATTTTGGATTTCCTGGAAAGTGTATAGGCCTTTGTCATCACTCAAGAAGTAGGCTATGTATTGCTATTGCTCCACAAGGTAGGAGAAACAGGTCTACCTCTAATCAACAGACCTTAGTTAGTGAATACAAGGATCAGCAAATTGAGTTGTTATGAACCTTCAGTGTTCTTAATCTTAATATAAAAAGTTTTGAAAGGATAGTATATGTATAGTATGATGTATAATATAGGCTGTGGTTAAAGAAATTCAGTTGAGAATATTTATGCAGTCAAACAAAGATAGTGAGATGCAAGATGTCCGACTTGTGTTTGGCTGGGATATTTAAAATTATGTATAACAGGGCATTGACTTGAGCTGTACTCCATTAAAAGTCCTGCACTGAAAATGTTAATTAAGTAAATGTATGTGTAAGTGTAATCATGAAGAAGTAAAATATCAAAAATAAAAGTACTCAAAGGAGGCTATTATATTATTATACTATTATTACTGATGTATTAATGTGTAAGCATGTTGCGTTTGGTTACTAACTAATTATTGCCATTATAATGAAATCCCTGATTATAATTTTTTTTTATTCATTGAGTCAACTGACTTTTTGGTTTGTAAAATTTCACAATATAGTGACACTTTCATAATGTTTGTTTTGTCCTACTGACAGTCCAAACCTCAAAATTATTTAAAAAAAAAAAAAAACAAGTTAAAATGATTAGGCCTAAAATAGCTAAAAGGACAGGATGTACACCCTCACAGACGCTGGAACCATGTACATTTTTATTTTGAAAAATGACTTAACCCACTATCAATATAGTTGTCAATATTTTTATGTCAACTGAAAAATCAAATACCCTAATCAACTTATCATTTCCCCTTTACATATTGTTTGGTACAGTAGTAAAGCATCACATTTCATAAGTTCTTCGTATGTTTTGTATGTAAAATGTTCATTTGTAAGTAGGCTAAGTTATAAAGTAGCATGACAAGAAAATAGTCAAGTAAAGTACAAGTAACTCAGACTTATACTTTATTACAGTACTTGAGTAAATGTACTTACTTTCCACCTCTAAACGACTCTGTAGTCAAACCAAAGCAGACCGATGTGTCAGGCTACAATATATAAACCCAGCGTTTCAGAACTACAAAAATAACTGCGCATGTTCCAGTCGAGGATCTGGGTTTTGTAGTATCTTTGGCTCCGTCTCTTAAAACCATGGATGTGACGTCGCCGTCAGCGAATATCCTGCACGGATTAAAGATGGCGCCCTCTCATGCGCTGAGGTGCTGCAAACGGGCTCTGAATTGGGTACCTGTCCTGTTTATTAACCTGGTTGTCGGTTGGTCTTATTACGCTTATGTCGTGGAGCTCTGTGTGTGTAAGTACATTCACTTTTATAAGTGTTTGCCTATGGCGGGGCGGATATCTGCTTGGGTTGACAGTTTCAGGGGTTGCCAAGTTTGATAGGCTAGTTGAAGTGAGATTGAAAATCACCCCCAAAACTGCATACATGCGATCAAACCTCAGTTTCTGACTCTTTAACCATTCACATACATGCATTCCTTCATGACAGCAGCGTATGTGTTAATATAACCGGGAAACGTTTTTGTCGAGTAGATTTGGAGAGTCCGGGTGGCTTTTACAGCCGTAAATTAATGATTAATAATTTCCTCGTGATAGTTGTAATGCACCAGGTGACATGAAATATGGGATGAAGTTGACTAAGACTGTAAAACTTCCTCAGGTGTTTTTGTTGTAGCTCCCTAATTTAAAAGATGTAGCTTTCATTGAAGATGTAGTTGCTGCTGGAGAAGAAGGAAGGTGGTTAAGACCTTGAAAGAGTCTGCTGTTCGCCTTTGTTTTAGGAGAAAACTATCAGACTTATTATTTACTTAATAACTGATACGGTTACAACATCATGCATCAAGATAAAAACTGGGTAATAAAGCAAAACCTTATACCATGTAACGATGACTTTTTGTACCTGTCAAAGTGGTTTAATCTGTAAAGGATTAAGTAGTTGCAATATTAAAGACATTAAAGTTAAAAAAAAAAATCCAAAAACATTGAGGCAAATGATTGATTCAGAGGGAATGATTATTATTATATTTTAAATCAAATAATTTGTTTTACAACTGTCAACACCTTCATCATTCAGTAGTGAGTGAAATAAGTGTTGTATACTTTTGTCTCATAATTAAATGTGCTTAATATGTATGCATGTGCTCCAAGCTTAACCAAGCAGGTCTGAAAGAAGTTCAGTGGGCATGAGTATTTTCTGTAACATTCAGCAGATAGATATTGATCATGTACTATCCCCTCACCCACAGTAGGTTTTTTTATAGTCTGTTTCAGGCTGGAACTGATGATACCATTATAAGCATGTAGATATACTGCAGTTATGTCTGTAGCTCAGCGGCTGTGGTCAGGACAGGGACATCCCTGCTGCTTAAACAAAGCTCTCTGTTATGGGTGGGTCACTGCTGGCCGTGCCAGGCTGCTACCACATGGTTTGAGAAAGGGCTGGTGTGTGTGTGTGTGTCTGTGTGTGTGGTGGGGGATGTGTAGTCATGCATTCTTAGGACATTCATTACTGCTCACTAATGTATTTTTTCTCTGCCTAATGTAGATACAATCCCAAATAATGCAGAACGAAGTAAGTGATGCCCCTGCACACTGTTCATTTTCTACCTTCTCCTGCACACTGTTCATTTTCTACCTTCTCATTACTTACTGATATTAATTATTCATAGCAAAGATTATTCCACAGATGTCAGTGTAACTACAAATCAAACCTTAACTTTCTCTCAACAGTCAGCTACTTGGTCATCTTTCACATTTTCCTCACCATGTTTATATGGTCCTACTGGAAGACTATCTGGTCCAAACCAGCGGGCCCCTCAAAAGTGGTAAGGCAAGAGAAATAAAAAAGGATTTTGTAAATACCCATGTATAGAAACCTCCTAAGTTTACTATGTGTCATGCATTAGGTTTTCTCTGACTTAGGCTTTCTTTTCTGCTTCTGTCAGTTCTGTCTGCCCAGAGCAGAGAAGGAATTGTATGAGAGAGAGGAGCGAGCTGATACGCAACAAGAGATTCTGAAGAAAGTGGCAAAGAATTTACCCGTGTATACACGCACGGCGGGGGGAGGTGAGGCTTTCACTAACAGCAGCAAAACTGCCTGTGGCTGGCTTAATATTTCAATTCCCAGTAGTTTCTCAAAAGAGGACCACCAGGGAAAACACCGTTGAGTAACAGTTTTTTTCACTGCTGACTTTAGCAAAGACGGACACAGAGACACTTTGTTCAGCTCATGTTTGTCACTCACATGGACAACATTAGATCAGCAATGCAAATGACATTGTGTAAAGGTATTGCTACATCGTGTCTTCCCCTTTTGGATGAAAGGGCAACTCTGTTTATATCTTCTTAAAACAGAGTACTCTGTGATGCTATAAGCTGTTATTTCTCTGCTGATGCATATCCGGCTCTTTGCGCAACTGCACCTATTAGGAAGCGTAATTGGACTCAGGTGTGCCTCGTTATCTCTACGGGCCGCACCTGGCTCCTCCACTCATCAACCTGCTTAGTTTCACAGGGATATTTCAAAAGACTGTATAAAATTACTGCCCGTATATTTATTTATTTAACTCAGAATTAATAATATTGTGGACAAAAAAATGAAGAGGGCAGGAAATTTCAAAGTGTTAAAAATGCAGAATACACCTGAAATGCTTATTTTGCTTATATATTGGCTACGTCACATACACCCTAATGGTGATATCTTGGATATCAGAGCACTGTGTGTAGGGGGGAAAAAACAATAGTTATACAGTATTACTTTAATAATTGTGCTTTCATTTTCTCTAAATAGCCATCCGATACTGTCACAGCTGCCAGGTAATCAAACCTGACCGCTGCCATCACTGCTCAACCTGTGAAATGTGAGTGTTTTGAAATTGTACACTGTATAATTAAGGCTTGTCTCACTTTTCATTTTTCTGTTTTTGTTTTCCTCAAAGGAGTAGACATGCTTAAACTGATTTTATCTTCCAAAGCATCCAAAAGCTTTTATTTCCGGCTGCAAGAAAACATTAACTGTAGCATCTGGTAACAGAGAAAACTGTTAAGTGCATATGCATTGCTGTTATTAAATAAGACCTTACATAGTTAAACAGTGTTAATTTATGCTGCAA